TCAGGAGGCCCATTCCTACCCTTTGGATGGCATTTCTGTCCCTGTCCCACCACTCCATGTCAAGTGTGTCCAGGCATCCAACTTGCCCTTTTAATTCACAGCTCCCCAGAGCAAGGGTTGCTGATTCCACGGAGCCACCCTGAGCAGCCTCACCAACACTCTGGCCGGCTGGGCTCACAGGACCATCTACTGCAGCCGTGATCCACAGTGGGTGCTTTGGGGGAGCTCAGGAGGGAGGGAATAGAGAGGAGTGCAAATTATTGTAGTCAGAGGCAGATGGTGATAAGTACTGTGGCTACATAGAAAGGGACCTCTTTCTCTAACTCTGTTGGTGGGGGGAGAGTACTGGGGTTGAACCCAGGGACACTCTACCTCTGAGCTACATCCCCAGACTTTTTATTTTTATTTTAAGACAGAGACTCTCTAAGCTGCTTACAGCCTCAATAAATTGCTGGAGCTGGCCTCAAACTTGCAATCCTCCTGCTTCAGCCTCCTGAGTCACTGGGATTACAGGCGTGCGCCATTGCATCCAGCTATTTCTCCAACTCTGAAACCTAGACTTGGCCTTAAGACAGACTTTGACCATGGAATATCAATACATGTAACACAAGCAAGACAGAAAAGCACTTGTGTTGTGGGCTTGCCCTCTCTCGCCACCTGTGAAACTTTCTGCCTTCATGTGTGCTAGCTCAGGTCAGCCGCCCCAGAGACAAGACAGCCCAGCTGTTCCAGGCTCCTCTCTTGGATCTCACCAGACCCACGTGTGCTGGAGACACCAGTCCCAGGGGAGCTGGCTGAGGCAGGCTGCGGGTCCAGCTCCCAGGGACAACCTCAAGCCACCAGGACACACTCACTCCACCCCAGGGAAGTGGTGGTGTCCCACTAGTGGAGGTCTTGGCTGAATGTCCCTGCATTTTTCACACCAGACTGTCCAGGAACTTAGGTGCCTCTGCAGTGATAACTACTGTCCATACAGCTGTCCGGCCACCCGGTCCACCCAGTCCTCACTGCAGGCTCAGCGTCTGCACCATGCACCTGAAAGGACACCTGGGGTTCCTTCCCTCATGGGGTCACTACCCACAGCCTTCCCAGTTGAACTTCAGCGGAGCCACTGGCAAGATGACCCAGCACTGAACCCAAGGACCACCTACCTCCACAGGCCAGGGAAGGAGCAGCAGTTGAGGGGAGGCCTTTCTGACTCAGCGTCCCCCACACTCCTGTCTCCCCTTTCCCTCCTCCCTGCTGTCTGTCATGTGCTTTCTCTGGTCTCTCCTTACTTCTCCGAGGCCATCAGCCCCGCCTACTGTCTATGGCACTCCACCAGCACCTACCTGCTTCTCCCTGGGTCTTGTTTCTCAGCTCCCCAGCCGTACTCTGGGGTCACCCTCAATTGCCCGAGCTTCCTGTCACAGCCCTCGCTCACTCATTCCTGTGACTGTACCCAGCAGTCTTCTGCCACCTGAGTCCTGTCCTCACACCTCATGCTCTTTCACTGCCTACCCTCCTTGCCAGCTGACAACCCATGGTCCATTGCAAGATACCCCTATTTTGCCCATCCTCTGTGGCCATCAGCTCATAAAAACCAGATCCTGGTTAAATCCAGCTCTGTGCTCCTGGATGTGCCCTAGCCTGCACCTGAGCACTGAACTTGGCTGTAGAAATCCCAGGCCTCTGTGCGCCCACTCCAGACACACCCGCCAAGCTGGATGGTGCTGCACTCAGAATGCCCGAAACTCCTCTCTTCCCCTCCCCAAATCTCCTGCTCTCATGTAACATTACAAAACGTTACTATAGCCAGGCACAGTGGTGCACACCTGTAACCCCAGAAGCTCCAGATGACGTGTGTATGTGTGAGATACACACACACACACACACACACACACACACACACACACATATATATTTATGTATTTATTTTTGTACCAGAGATTGAACCTAGGAGCACTTAACCACTGAGCCACATCCCCAGCCCTAATTTATATTTTATTTAGAAACAAGATCTCCTGTATACATATATATTGTTTTCATTTACTAAGTTGCTGAGGCTGGCTTTGAAATTTTAATCCTCCTGTCCCAGCCTCCCAAGCTGTTGGGATTACAGTTGTGCACCATCCCACCCAGCCTTCCTGGTATATTCTTTTAGATTGCCTTAAAGCACACACAGGCAAGTACAATGTGTGTGTGTGTGTGTGTGTGTGTGTGTGTGTGATACACATATACATACATTCTATTTCATCATTTCATTTATACATATGCATATATATGTATACATATATATTGTTTTCATTTACTTAAAGACAGAAATTCACAAAGTCTGATCTTCAGAGTTTCTACCCCCCAACATTATATGTTCTGAATTCTCAAATCAAAACAGAAGTTCTGTTTCCTCATCTTTTTATGACTGCATTTGTCTACCTTCCCTCCGTCATTCTCTTGGTGTCTACTGATGGGTATTTAGGGAGTTTCCAATACTTTGCTGCTACAATTGAGGTGACTGTCCTGGTACCTCCACCATTTTGCATGGATGTTAAAGTATGGATAAGATAACTTCTAAAAGGGGAATGGCCGCCTCACCAGTGTGTGCATTTGCCTGCTTGGCCCATGTTACCCACCTCTTCCACAGGGCTGTGCAAAACTATTCTCCCAGAGCAGCATGAGACAGCTGGAGGCCAATTCAAGGTGTCACCTGGTCTTGCTCAATCTGAGAGCCACACTCCCTTCTCTGCAAGCTTATCAAACTCCGCTCGGCCCTCTTCCCCTCCCAGGGCCTCTCCCCTCTCCCAGGCCTTCCTCCTCTCTGGAAGATGCACCACTGACCCCAGGCACAGCAAGGCTCTCTGGACAGCATGATGACTTGTTCTGCTGCAGAGCCCACTCATCCTCACTCCACTGTCACACCCTCACTAATGCCATCATCTCTCCCCAGGAATGCAGTGCCCCTTATGGTATTTCCAGGCCTCTCCTCGGATCTGTTCTCAATGCAGCAGCCTGAAGGTCTTTCAAAGTTCCACATCAGCACCAAACTCCTCTTCAACCCCCTCTAATGCTCTCTTTACACCTGGGGTGACTCCACTCCCTGATCCACCCACTCACTCATCAACCAGCCAGCCATCGTCCTTCCACCTGCCCATGCACTCCCTTATCCACCCACTTATCCATCCATCCTTCCCTCTGTCCTTCCACCTGCCCACACACTCCCTTACCCACCCACCCATCTGTCCTCCCATCCACCCACCTGCCCATCTACCTATTCATCCTTTTGCTCATCCCCCCAACAATTCTTCAGCAGTCTGCTGGGCGCCAGGCTCTTTCTAGGCACTCTGAGGGCAGAGAAAGTGGCTAAGGATGACCCCATCCCCACCCCAACTGTGTAGCTCCCCAGATAAGCCACTATCCACAGCCACTTTTGAAATCAGTTTAATATCAAGCTATAAAAACATCCTGTCCAGAGTATAGATATACAAAAGAAGTACTATCAAAAATAATAATAATATCAACAATATCAAACAAACTAATTCCTAAGA